TTTATTTCTGTTTTCTGCTAGGCCACAGCCTGTATATTTAATCTTTAACAGAAAACAGATTTTGCATTTAAAGAACTGGGAAGTCAGCTCCTATTTCTGAATTGCAGATTACGGTATTAAGTTGTAATCTGATGTTTGCAACACCTGTCAATTATTAATGCATTCTGTCTGTGATCTGTGTTCGGAGAATGAATCTAAACAGCAAATCTTCTGATTGCAATGCTCATTTAATCTTTGGATTTCTTTACGCTTCATGGTATTTTTACTCTGTCATTTCTCACCTGTGAAGAATTTTGGAGAACCTCAAAAGGCTGTGTCCATTTTTGAGCCATTTAGTTGGATCCTATAAAAAATATTGGATCTATAAAAGGTTTTGGGTTCTCTTTTTCCATGCTCTGATTTTTTCTGTGAGTCATTCCTGCCTGGTGCCTCTATTATCTGTAAAAGTATGTCTTTTTGGGAAAGAAATGAAGCATTAATCTGTGCTGCTGGTGCCATCTGCTGAAGGAAAATGTGCAAAACATACTTTGTACTTTATTTGGTTGTACACAGCTTGAAGATGGTTGGAAAAACATGCTTTGGATCTTGCACATATCCAGAACCTTTTTCTAAGAGAGATGTTATTGTTTCAACCTTTCAGCAAAGCCTGAAAAGATGTCTCTCCCCTAAGAAGGTCACTCATTAAAGTTAATGCAGTAGCATCTTTAGTTGATTGATTAAGTGCCATCAAGATATTTTCAACTCCTAGCAACCATATAGGATGGATCTTCTCCATAGATCCATCTCCATTAAAGCTAATGCAACCCTTAAAGCAGCAACTTTACTGGGGCTGCTTTAAACAAGAGTAGAAAGGTGATAGGCTTGTTTAAGGGCTGACATACCTTTTCCAAATCATTTTTGAAGCATGAAATGCATGACCATTTTGCATAAAAAAGTCCTTTTTGTTGTTCAACAGCACAAATTTGCTTAATACTGGATATTTAATATATAACACTTGAATATTTAATGTTTTTCACTTTTGTACACACATGTGAAATGTATTCACAACACATCTGTTTTTCTTTATACTGTGCTTTTTTCTGAACTCATTTACTATTTTCATAACATACTATGGATGTTACCTGTTGAATATTGAATCTCTTTGATCCATACTCAATAAATACATGAAATATTGAAAAAAATCTCTGATCCATTATTAAGAATAGGAAGACAAATGAAATACATCTGGGTTAACATCAATTAACATGCAATTTCATAACATTGGTGTAATGGTGAAGGTGCAGATCTAGAAACTAGGAGACTGTAATTCTAGTTCCACCGTAGCTATGAAAGTCAGCTGGGTGACTTTGGGCTAGTCATTCCCTCTGCCTCACAGGGTTGTTGTGGTGGGGAAAATAGGAGAATTAGGCATGTTTGCCATCTTCAGTTATTTATAAAGTAATGAAGATGGGGCAAAAATGTAATGAGTACTTATTTGCTCTGTATCGGATGTATGTATTAATAAAAACAAATAGCTTTCAAGTAGTTTTTAATTGATATAGAAACATCACTCAGTCTTAAAGCTATGGAGGTTGACTCAGCCTTCCACCTTTCCAAGGTCGGTAAAATGAGGACCCAGATTGTTGGGAGCAATATGCTGACTCTGTAAACCACTTAGAGAGGGCTGTAAAGCACTGTGAAGCGGTATATAAGTCTAAGTGCTATTGCTATTATGCTGCTAATTTAGCATTTCTTACATATCAAAATGGAAAGCAGTACCTGGAAGAAAATGTATAAGATATGTAAATTAGCAGTTAGCAGTTAGTTTATAGACATTAGCAGAAGTATGGCAAAGAAGAATAATTACTTAGAATGTAACTTCAGAGAGGATTTATCAAAGATGCCAATTTCTATTATAGGAAAGGGACAAGTATGGTTATCAGTTTGATAGGATGTTTGATGATGGTGATATGCAAAGAGATTTTCGAATCTCTGCTCCAACACTTGCCTATTGGGCACACAGAAAGACATTTTTCCCGATCTTTGTGTGTGATTAGATTTTATTATAGTATATAAAATACAAAGAGAAACAGATCAGAAAAAAGAAGGGAAAGGGAAAAGAGTACAAGGCCATAGAAAGAAAGAAAAAAGTGACTTCCGACTTTTTCAGCACAGTAGAATAAGACCTCAATTGTCTGATTTACATTTTTAGTAAATACATGCCATTTCTATAACCCCAAACTCAATCTAATCATCAAAACTTAAAATCAACATTTCATTTTTTTTTCTATTTTGATCATAAAGCCCAAAAGCAGTTTTGGGGGGGGGAGAAATGGACAAGTTCTCTTTAATTAAAACAGTCAGCTTTGCCAACTCTGTAAGCTTTGGAAATTTTCATGCTGATACCAAGTGTGGCTTACTACTTTTTTTCAAAACAAAAGAAAATCCCCATCCTCTAACTGTCCTGGAATAAAATTAAGACTCATCTGTTTCATTTAGCACTTATATTGTTGGAAGTTGTGTTTAAATGATATTTTTAAATGGTTTCAATCCATTTTATTGCTTGTACTGCACTGTTTAAATTTGTAGTAGGCTTCTTCATTGTAATATGGGAAAAGATTACATGTTAATTTGAAGTTCCACCTCAAATCTTCTTTCCTTTTAGGAAATGTATATTCTCTTAAAAGCCCCACCTTTGTGATATTGCTTTTTAATTCTAAACAAACAGGCCACTAAAGACTATAAATCTTTGTTAATCTACATTAGCTGTCTATAATTCAGAGATTTTTTTTCTTCTAAGATCAGAGGCAGGCCTTTACTTCTCAGCATTCTCAACAAATTAAAATTGCATCAGAACAATAATATTTGACATCATGACACAACATTCACACTTAGATAGTTGCAGCACGATGCCTGACACAAATATGCAAACCTTGGGTTTTGTGTACATTGTTGTGATGGATATTTTATTACTTGCTCCCCCTTGCTCCCACTGTACATGCCAACGTTGGGATATTTGCAGCCAGACAAATCAAAATGATGAAAAGTGTATTGTGGCATCATGGCACAAGTAAATAATGCGGTCCATATTTATGGTGTACAAGGCAAGCATTGGCAGGAATTAATGCATTCTCCTGGCTTTGTTTCCCTCTCTCTTGCTGAATATTTGACATCACTCAGTTGGAAAACATCCATCCATCTTTCTCAATGGAGCTGGAGTTGGGAAAAAAGGTGCATTGCAAATTGACTCGACTGACTGATTTTGCACAAGTGTTCTTCCTGAGTATGTTCAAAGGGATTGGTGGATTCTCCCTCTTCAACAGAGGTTTGGCTCTATTCCAGTGTTCAAAAGAAGCTTAAACATAAGGTGACAGCTGCAAAGAGAGTTATTCTGTGAAGCAGCAGAGAGATCTGCATGCACACGCACACAAAAAAATTCCACTAGCCAGCTGATCTTCAAGCTGACTCTTAACCAAGGTTTAGCCTGAAGACCTGGTAGATACAGAGGAAGAATAATTTTGGAGGACAGTTCCCTGGGTCCAGAATGGAGAGGCTGTACCCGGCGAGCATACCTAAAACTCTGGCCTCCTATTTCCCCACAAAAACAACACAGTGAAGTGGGTTTGGCTGAAAGAATAATTGGCTAAAAGTTATCTGGTGACTTCCATGCCTAAGGGAAACCTAGAACACAGGTTCTCTTGGGTTTTAGTCCAGCAGTTTCACCACTACACCAAATTGGCTCTCTTAAGTGGCTAGTAGGTGCAGGACTAGGCTGTTCCTTAGTAGTTACTTTACTGCATAGTTGACAGAATGGTTGGCGAGGTATATCCATGGCAAAACCTGTAACAGAATAAGAGAAAAATACTACTATTTTAACATGGGTACAGTATGGACAATTACTTTCACAGCTATCAGTGTGGGGGAATCAAATGCATTGTCCTGAGGACATGGCAAAAAAAAAAAAAAGGTTTCCATAATATGCCTGTATTGCTGTTTATGCAAGTGAGGAAAAATAGATTCTCTGAAATAAATAATAACTAATTTATATCCCTTTGATTTTAGTATAGATGTATTACAGTCGCCTCAAACAGTAAAGTGAAATAAATAGTACTCACATCCTGATCTCATTACGTTGAACGTTAAGGAATGATTTTCTGTTGTACTTCAACCATCCTGCAATTCCACCTACACAGGAATCATCATCCCCATCCAGAAAGTTGCTTCTTTCTATACCTCTGCCATTGGTTGATGTCCAGAGATTACTTTACAGATCTGTAAAAGAGGAACAACCTACTGTGAGTTCTCATCTCATATGAAGTAGGCATCTTGAATTTCATATGTTGCAAACTATATATAACATCAGAACACATTTGCTGTTCCAGTGGTGATCAAATAAACTGAAACAAGTCTTCAGCTCCCCAAATTACTCTGTTAGAGTGTTCAGATGTCACGATTATTCTGCTGAGTTGGTTAACAAAATGCACATGTCCCCTGTGCTCACTTAGCAACCTGCTTTCAGTGATGCCTAACCTCGATCCACAATGGAGGGAAAAACCACAACAATGCAAATGTGTTTGTTCAACACAATTCTGAAAGCTTTCCAGAAACTGCTGAGCAAAACAAGACCTACCAAAATCAAGCACCATTAACAAGGGATAGAAGCTGCCTTCTATTTGTGGCCGTGGATTGTTGTTTTTTTTTTTGTGTGTGGTGGTTGTAATACTGAGTTCAACAGCATTTTATTATAATGTTTCAAACAATATATGTTGTGTTTCGGAAGAAAGCAAAACAATCCCACTGTCCTGCTGGGAAAAAAAAAAGAGTGAAGCAAATGTTTTGTGTTTCCCATAGTTATTTACCTATCATTTATCAGGTGACTACTTCCAAACAATTCTAGAAATTTACGCTCATGAGTTTTATTTATTTATTTATTTAAGAGCTTGGCCCTCCCTCAACCCCATTCATCATTAACTCCGAGCCTTCAAAAAGAGAGAAACTCTTAGAAATTCCATGCTAACTCATCTTCATTATAAACACATCTATAAATTCTGGGGACACTTTTCCAGCTGAAATCACAGAGGGAGGCAATCAAAATGTGTAGTTGCAGAAGATGGAGAAAGACACCGTCAGCTATCAGGTAAGAAAAAAATGACCAGGAGAAATATTTTTATTTTTATTATCTCCCTCTCTTGAGCATTAGTACTTCACAAAGATGAAATATGTTTATATTACTAAATAATTCGATATAGATTAATTTGAATTTCCTCCTAAAATAAAGTTTTAGTATGCAATGATGAAGAAGAATTTAACCAGCCACAAACCCCATTCTTCTTGTCTTGAATTTGAATCTGGCAAGTAGACAAAAAGAGCTATCTGTTATGGGGAATATTCAGCAAGCAGCTGAAGCACCTTTTCCTTTGAAGCTGAAAGTCTCTTGAAGTCCTCTGTGCCAGCTGATTATTTGTACTAAATTGGAAAAGTTAACTGCTCCAAGATGACACAATGCTAAGGTTGATAGAAAATATATTTAAATAACCTCAGCTTCAGCTCCAGGACACAAACATTCTATATCCATGACAGTATAGGTTTTATAAAGTGGGTGTGTTTGTGTGTGTGAGAAAGAGACAAAGAGGGACAAAGAGACAGAGAAATAGAGAGACAGAGACACACAGAGAAAGATAGGGATCTAAGCACTTAAGACACAGCCAGACAGTTGTTTTAAAATACCTACTTTCCCCCATTCCAGGAAGCAACATAAAAATATGCCAGCCAATTTGCTGTGCCCCAACAGCCCATTTCTCTTTTCCTTCAGTACGTGGTGCAGCCATGACAGCTTCACCCACAGAAGTGTATTCTCCCAATTGTAGCTTCAGCTTCTTCCATATGGGTCATAGCCCTCCTTTAGTATCGAATTTAGTTTTTTACAAATTCAGATAATCTAGAACAGGCTCAGAGAAGGGGAATGAAGATAATCAGAGGACTTGGAAAGAAATCTTATGAAAAGAGATTGAAGGAACTAAAAAAGACTTGAGGAGACAGGCATTGCAGCACTATGACAACATTTTTCAAATATCTGAGAGATGGTGACATAAAATAAGATTATGACCTGCTCTCTAATATAGGACACAGAATAAATGAACAATTTATAGGAGATTCTGACTGCTTTTTGTTAAAAAAAAAACCCTTTCTAATAGCATGAGCAATTCAATAGTGGAACAAGTAAAGGAGAATTGGGTAGGCATCCCATTACCAAATGCTTTCAAGTAAAATTTAGACAGCCTTATGTCAGGAATAATTTAAATTGGATTCCTGAAATTAAACTGGATTCCTGAACAGAGGGTTAGACTTAATAGTTAGCTACTGTAGATCCCTCCCTATTATATTTTTGTCTATGGTGATAGTAGCATAAGAAGAGGCAGAGTGGACGGGGCAGAGTCAAGAGAGGATTCAGCCGAGAATTGTTATGTGTCCACAAACACTCCACATCCAGATCCCCCAAATTGACTCCTATCTAACACCAATTTAATGCTGACTCAATTTAATTTTAATTGACTAGATTCTTATGTATTGGCTTCAGCAATAAATCTTCTTAATTGCAATTTAACATAACAGTCTTGATCCTGACAGATAGTGATGGAGACATCCCAACAGCCTTTGATAATGGCACTGATGGGGACTTCTGAACAGCCCCCTGATGGAGATAGAATGTCGGGCTGTCTGGAACTTCCATGATATTGAAAGACATTACTTAGATTCTTTAGTTGACTATTGTGAATTTATTCTCATCTTGTTTTATTTAGTTTGTCACATGATATTGCCTTCAGTTCATACAGTTTTGAATGGACTGTTCATACTAGGATTTTGTTACCACAAAACCAGTATACAAAATTTCAAAAAGTTAACTGTCCATTTGAGAAAGTACGACTTGACAGAAATACCATGCAATGTAACAAATCCAACCCAACATTTACAGAATGAAATCAAACATTCAATTGACACATCCTGGTGTATTCAAGGATATGTCCTACTTTTCTACAACACAGAAGAGAACCCCTTATGGAGTTGTGATTGACTTGTGATTTATGGGTCTGAACATTAGAAAGGGTAATTTATGAAAAAAAGGATATTATGATGTAACCTTACAGAGAGAGGGTAAAATACAAATGCACTTATAACTGCTATTCAAAAAAAATCAGAAGTGCTTATTAATAATCTTTTCTACTTTTTCTCTGTCTTACTTATTCACCATTCTTCCTTATTTTCTTTTGTTTTAAATATGTTTTATTAATTTTTTTAACATAATCACCTTAATACTTGATAAACAGTGTGTTGTCTGGGTTTACATTTAAGAAACATTCACTAACAGTTGATTTCTATAATTTATAATCCACATAATAACTTTACTTGATTTCCTCTTTTTCCCATAATGTTATCTTTTACCAACCTTAAGTTAATACAATTCTTGTTATTTTAGTGAATGACGATTGAGTATAAATTTTTTCTAATATTTCTACAGATAATAATCACATCAATATAATATTCCTTTTCTATCTAGTCATTCTGGTTGTCTCATCATAGATCCTGTTTACAGTTCTTGTTTACATTTGTTTTTCCCACAATGTTCAAAACATTCTTACTGGTTAAGATCTTCTCAAAGTTAATTACATTTAAATATTTAAGTCTATTTTTTCTCATGTAAGCCAACCCAATACTTTTACCTTTCTTAAGGAATAAATAAGACTAAAAGAAGAAAAAAGAAGAATAAGAATAAAAAAATATAAAAAGATAGTATGCTAATTAAAATTCCTATTTCCTATAAGCTAATACATATTTATTTCCAAAAACCTTTCGTTCTTTTTTACTATAATTAAAAATATATTTAATCTTTAAAATATTCCATTTAATAAATCTAGTCCTCTAGTCTTTTAACTCTTATTCGAAACATTTTTTAATCCATTGTAATTTTCTTAAAGTCAATCACCCTTAAATATCTAAAACATTTCCTTTATATAAGTAATTCCAACTCTTTTATATCACTCATATCAAGAAATAAAATGAAAGAAAAAGAAAAAAGTACTATGTTACCTGAGGGGTTCTTCCCTCTTAAATAAAATTCATATCCAAATTTTTTCTATTTCTTTAACCATATTTGAACAGGTGTTTTTTAAAATATTCTCCCTGATAGGCCCCATTGTCTATTTTCTTAATTTTCACTTTAGCCTTTTTCTTTTGCCCACTATCTTTCTTAATCAATATGTTCTGCTGAATCAAAGAATCTTTCCATATTCTTATAGGTGTTACTGTAGATATAAAAGGTAAGTCAAGTACAATATCTTTGTAAGAGGCATTTGCCCATTCATTTTTGTTGAAAATCTTTTTCTTTCTTTTTCTCTCTGCTTCTCTTATAATTTTTTGTCTCTCCAATTCTAATGTTTTTCCTGGCATCTCTGCAGTCCATTTTGTCCAATCTTTTTTCTTATCCTCAAATTTGTTTTGTGGTGTTAAAGTATAAGTTGTCTTTTCCAAACCCAATATTTCTTATAATTTTTTTTCCACTTGGGTTAAATCATACTTTTTTGTTTTGTTAGGTTCCATCTTTAAGTCTCTATCCTCAAATTTGTATTCAGTTGTCTGTTTTATCTGTTCCTTCTCTGTTGTTGTTTCCTGGGAGTTTTTGTTGTTGTAAAGTTAAATTGGAGATGAATTGGTTTATATTTTCAAAGTTGTTTTGGATTTCTTTGTGGTTTGAAATCATTGTTATTTGAATTAGTTGCAACATATCGTATGTCTCTTCTTGAAAAGTATTTATTTTTTCTTGATAAGTTCTTTCTGTAAATCTCTGATTTTCCACGATGACCAAGAATCCAAATTTTCTTTTCTCAGCAAATAGCTTTGGGGTCAGAGTTAAATAGATACTTGTAATCCAGAAAGTTCAAAAAAGTTTTTTTTTTTTTTGTTCCCTGAAGTTTGTAAGTCTCACTTTGTCTGCAGCCCAGATTGTTTTCTTTTTTGACACAGCTGTTCTCTATTGTTAGAGCTTTGAAGGTCACAAATAGAGATTAGTTTTTTCTAGATTTTGCCAAGTCCTGCATGAAAGCCATAGCTGTTGTAGTCTTCATCCACCACTAGATGTCAGCACCGGTTTATTTTTCAAATTTTCAAAATGAACAAATTGCCTTTACAATGAGAATCTTAACCATTCAGTAATTTCAAACTTATTTATAGTCATTTCATTTCAAGTTTTGGTTCTCCATAAAAGGTTTAATTCTCCATTTCCATTAGTAAAAGAGTGGGGTAAAAATCCTCCTTCACTTTCAGAGATTTTTTGCTTTTGGGGATTTTTTTTTTCTTCAGAAAAGTTGATAAGTAGGATAGAGAAAATTGATGTTCTTACCCAGATTCAAACACGCTGTTTAGAATCAGCTTAAAATAGTGCTTTTGACTTTGGTTGCTTGCAGCTTGGGCTAGACTCTGAAGTTAGGCTAGCCTTTCTCCTGTTGGTTTCTGGAAGGCTTCTCCTGGACCGATCGGGTCGACCGCCATCTCTCCATGGTCCCCGGGACTTCCTTCCTTCTTTTCCGCTTCTTTGGGGTGGCTTCTAGCCTATTTAGAGTCCCCTAACAGGAAGAAACTCAGCCAAAGGGCATGGAATCCCAAACCCCTTGATTGTTGCGCTGCTGCACAGGACCAGAAGTCCATTCTTCCTTATTTTCTTTGTTTCTTTTCTAATATTGGTATTGTTTTTAACCTGTTAAAATGTCTTCAATAAAAGTTATATGTAAAAAAGAAGAGGTTTGTCATACTTGTTTTCACTTTCCATTTCAGCTTATAGCATTGCAACATCCTGGTTGTTTTCTATCCAAGTCCTATGCAGCTTAGCTTTGTGAGATGTGCAAAGATTGGCTGCTGTCACCAGTGCTAAAAACAAAGCAAGAATACATATTCTATTGTCTAGATATATTTTTGCAACATAGCAAAGATATTTGGGGCTTAATCTGTGTCAGGGCTCTCTTGCGTTCAATTCTAGCATCTTTTTTTCAAGCCCAAGCTTAACCTTGACATTTATAATGAAAGAGAAATGAAAATTGTCTCGAGCAATTGTATGTTCTCAGCCTTTTAAATTTTTTTACGGTTCCACAGGTTGGCATTTTGGCAGGGATGGGAGAAAAAGACAATTAAATCAATGCACTGGTTCCTTTTTATTAGACACTGTATATTTAATCCAGCAGCTAGATGGTAGCACCAGTTTGTGCATGTATTTATAAGCAGCACAAATTTGGATTGCGGATGCTGAATTGATATTTACATATCAGACAAAAGAGGCATTTTTCTTTTTCTTAAGAAAAATCATTGTAAAATCACAGGAAGTTTGGTTTTCCACAAAAAGTATTTGTGCAGATAAAGTGAAAGCTAGATTGCCTATAATCTGCTAATTAAAGATAATCAGGAAAAAATATAAGGAAAAACCAAAGGACCCATTATTTAAGTATTTAGATTATATTAAAGAGGAAATCTTTGAATAGATGATGTTTTATATTTTAAGTCATTGTGACTTAAATGTGACCTTTTAGAATGTGTGGTACACAAATATTATGCACAGGATCTCATTTCACGGCTGAACCATTATAGTCTAAATGCATATTTCATTTAACCGAAGCTTCCTGAACAATAAGAATTTCTTATTTTTGCAGACGTCTGCTGGAGCTGACCATGAGGAAACTGATGGCAACCGTATTTGTGGATTGAGTAGCAAACAAAGAAACAAGATTAGTGGGACACAGCTCTCGGCAGCAGAACATGAAACAATGGAGGCGTCTCTTGGTGCAAACTCTTTTAATCAAGGGATATGGGAGCCGTATGTAGATAAACCTCCTCAATTTCAGGAAGCAGGTGAGACCCTCCCCAAAGATTTCCAGGTAAAAGAAGGCTTATCACATAACCAAGAAGAATCGTGCAGAGATCACTCAGAAGATTGCAGGGGTATAGAATCCTTTGGCCGAAAAGATCAAACATTTGAAACAGACATAGAGAGCAAAGATGAGCACCTGGGTTGGCTAGACACAAGGAGAAGCGAGGAGACCTCTGAAATAGCATCATACGAAGATAAAACTTGCTCAATGCGGGATGGGAGTAAGTTCCACCCAACAGAGGAAATGGACGGGGATCATCCTAGAGAAACCCAGGAAAAAGAAGAGAGCAAAGACATGTCTGTTTTGGAGCCTGGCAGTCCCAACCAAGCTTTGCAAGAGTTTAAGAGTGCATTGAATGAGAGTCCCTTGTTAAGCAACTGGACCTGGGACAGCAGTGAACTCAGGGCTACCTCTTGCCATGCACTTCTGAAGTCTAGGGAGGAACAATGTCAATGTATCGAAATTCTTCCCCCTCATTTAGGAGACATTGACCAGAAAGTTCCCAATGTGCACATGCATGGATCAGGGCAAGGAGGAAAGCCCCAACTGGGTTACAATTCTGCTGGGTTGGAGAAACAGCCATCAAAAGGGGATGATTTGGAGCAGGCCGTTGGGAGTCAACGGACCCCTTTTCCAAAGGTGGTCAAAGCTCCACCTACTAACTTTGAGCCCACATCTGGTAAGCACATTAAGTCCCATATGAAATAGAGGGATTGTGCTATTATCAGCTAAGCATGCAATAAAATATGATTGCTATAATTGATACTATGGCATTATATACTACCTTCATTCAAAACCAGTGTCATACATGTAAGGAGATATAAAAGAAAATGATAAAACACAACAATAAGCAAATTATAAGGAAAATTAGTCAAAACAGTATCAGATATGTTAAATGGCAGCAAATTGTAGCATCAAGGTAGGGTGAGATGGTGTGGACGGTTAGGTGCCACTGCAAATATTTCATTCTCACCCGGCCACTATATAGTACAGGACCTATGCTGGAGAATTATTTGCACTCCAAACTTGATTTTATTTGAAAATCACATAAAAATGCAGAAATCTCTTATTTGGGGATACGCAAAATATTTGGACTGAGTTATTCTCAAAGTCCAGTACTATTAAAGTGACTGACTTCTCCAGAAAAAGCATGGCTGCTTTAAAGGCTTTTTTGACATGCCTGCATGTCTTTGTCGCAAGTGTGGGAAGTGTAGCTGTATAAATTTTAGAAACCAACAAACAAGTAAGTGTGTTCATGGAAATTCAACACTGTTGGAATTGGCAGCACAGGTGCATAAGCAGTAGGGAAACCCACGCCAAGTCCCCCAGAGGAAGCAGCTACTTTAATACTTCAAGGAGGAGCACCTTACTTGGGCCAACGAGTTTGAGAAGGGTCTCTTTTGAACTCTTTGCACAGTCCTATTATTTCTGTTTTTTACTAACCTCCTTCTTGTGTAAGTGTTCATCATTCAGTCTTAAGACAGGTTCCCATCATTCCAACCCAGAATTCAAAGCCAGATGAATCCTTGAGATCAGTGTTCTTAAGGGCACGCAACTTCTCAAATATTGTGTCAAAAAGGTATGTCAATGGCAAATATTTAAATCCTACCTTATGATGATTGCATTTTAATTTTTCATTTAAAGAAAAAGAATCCAGAAGAGATTCCAGTGGGAAGAAATTGGGCAGTGACGATTTTCTTCACTTCTCCTCTGAGATAGAGCACATCGAGGAACAGATGGCAAGGGACAATGTCCACTTTGTCAGATTTGAAACCATAGATATCCACGGTGTATCAAGATCCAAGAGCATCCCTTCTCGGTTTTTCCGGGTATGTCTGTATTCTTTTCCTGTTTCCTGGATGCAGTAGCTCCTTTTGCCAATCTGCAAACCTTTGTTACTCCAGTATGCCATAAATTGCCCTTAGGTTCACCAAGAACCTTCTAAATACCTGGCTCAGGAATTCTGGGAGTTGAAGTCCATGAGTCATAAAAGAGCCAAGGTTGCTTACCCCTGATCTAGCCTAACTTCAGAGTCTAGCCCAAGCTACAAGCAACCAAAGTCGAAAGCACTATTTTAAGCGGATTGTAAACAGTGCGTTTGAATCTGGGTAAGAACATCGATTTTCTCTACCCTACTTATCAACTTTCCTGAAGAAAAAAAAAACCCCAAGAAGTAAAGTCCCTTCCAACTTTATTATTATTATTATTATGGATCATCGCACAGTCAGCCAGATGTTCAGACTGGATTTGGCATTTTGTCTACCTATCGAGTCCTTACCCAGGACCTGGGATAGGCAGATGTGGATGTTTGATGGTATTATTACTACTACTACTATTATTATTATTATTATCGATCATCGCACAGTCAGCCAGATGTTCAGACTGGATTTGGCATTTTGTCTACCTATCGAGTCCTTACCCAGGACCTGGGATAGGCAATGTGGATGTTTGATGGTATTACAGATATCGTCGCAGGATGGAAGCAGTTCCTAATAAGGCGCCTTTTGCAATTGACTAATAGCGAATTTGTCAATGCCAATGGTGTTCAAGTGGTGCTCCAGTTGTTTTGGGATTGCACCCAAGGAGCCTATTACTATTGGTACTACCCTTGCTTGCTTTTGCCACAGTCTTTCTATTTCTATTTGTAGGTCTTTGTATTTTGTTATCTTCTCCAGTTCTTTCTCTTCTATTCTGCTATCTCCAGGCACTGCCACGTCCACTATCCAGACTTTTTTGTCTTTCTTATCGACAATTGTTAAGTCTGGGGTGTTATGTTGCAGGTGCTTGTCTGTTTGAATTCTGAAGTCCCAGAGCAGTTTAATTTTATCATTTTCTATGACTTTCTCTATTTTATGATCCCACCAGTTTTTGCTTACAGGCAAATGATATTTTTTGCAGATCTTCCAATGCACCATTGTTGCTACTTTGTCATGCCGCTGCTTGTAGTCAGTCTGTGCAATCTTCTTGCAACAGCTTACCAAGTGGTCCACTGTTTCTTCAGCTTCTTTGCATAGGCGGCACTTACTGTCTGTTGCTGTCTTCTCAATTTTGACTTTGTATGCATTTGTCCTTAAGGCTTGGTCTTGTGCAGCCAGAATTAGTCCCTCGGTCTCTTTCTTCAATTTTCCTGCTCTTAGCCATTGCCAGGTTTTATTGTTATCTGCTTTCCCAGCTATTTTTTTCATGTATCGGCCATGTAGTGCTTTGTCTTCCCATGCCTCTATTCTGTTCTTCATTTGGTCTTTCTTGTAGGCCAGTTTGGTCTCTCCAGTAGTTAGTAAGCTTCCTGATATACTAATTTCAGTGCATCTTCATCATTGTTCTTCAGATATTCTTCCAAAGCCATTTTTTCTTCTTCAACCATCTGATGTACTTGTAGCATTCCACGCCCACCTATTTGCCTTGGTAGATAAAGTCTATCAATGTCACTGCGTGGATGAAGGGCATGATTCATTGTCATTATTTTTCTGGTCTGCCTATCCATTGCTTTTAGTTCTGCTTGAGTCCAGTCCACTATTCCAGCTGTGTACCTAATGACTGGGATTGCCCAGGTGTTGATTGCCTTTATGGTATTTCCTCCATTGAGTTTGGATTTTAAGATCTTCTTCACTCTCTTGATGTATTCACCTCTAATCTTTTTCTTGACTTCAGTGTGCTTGATGTTGTCAGCTTGAAGGATACCCAAGTATTTGTAGTACTCTTCCTCATCCAGACTCTTAATGTTATTTTCGTGGGGCATCTTGATTCCTTCAGTTTTCATTATTTTTCCTTGTTTGATAGTAAGTGTGGCACATTTGTCCAAGCCAAACTCCATTACAATATCTTGCTATATATACGGACAGTGTTGAGCAGCGATTCTATTTCAGATGATGTTTTTCCATACAGCTTCAGATCATCCATATAAAGGAGGTGGGATAGTCTGGCAGATGTTTTTGATGTTTGATAGCCATGTCCTGAGTTATTCAGTATTGTTGACAGAGGAAACAGTGCAATAACAAATAGTAATGGTGATAATGAATCTCCTTGAAATATTCCTCTCTTGATATTAACCTCTCCCAGCCTCTCACCATTGATCTGCAACTGTGTCTTCCATTGTGCCATCGATCTTTGCACAAATTTTCTGATGTTTCTACTGACTCCTGTTATTTCTAGGCACTTATTATCCAATCATGTGGCAGAGAGTCAAATGCCTTTTTGTAGTCATCCATGCCACATTCAGGTTGGTCTTCCTTCTCTTGCAGTTTTCCAAGATCATTTTGTCTATTAGGAGTTGATCTTTTGTTCCTCTGCTGTTGGGGCGGTTTCCTTTCTGCTCAGGTGGAAAGAGATTGTTTTCAACTAGATGCTGTTGCACTGCATCAGCTACTACACCAGTTAGTAATTTGAAAGTTGTTGGTAAGCAGGTAATTGGCCTGTAGTTACCTGGTGTTGCCCCTTTTGCTGGATTTTTCATTATTAGGTAGGTTTTCCCAGTTGTTAGCCACTTTTCAATTTCTCCTCCTTGTAGTATATTGTTGAACTGTTTGGCAATGAGTGGGTGTATAACAGTTAGATGTTTCAACCAAAACCCATGCAGTTCATCTTCACCTGGTGCTGACCAATTTTTGATTTTCTTTGCTCTTTTTTCTACCATTTTTGTTGTTATTACTAGTTCTTTCATTTCAACTTCTGTTTTATTTGCATCCACCTCTTTTAACCAAGCCGCATCCTTGTTGTATTTCTTTGGGTTATCCCATATCTGCTTCCAGAACTGCACTGTTTCTTCCTTGTCAGGTACTGACTGATTCCTTGCAGTTTCTCCATTGATGGATTGGTAGAAACGTTTCTGATTGGATTGAAATTGGAGGTTCTGCCTATAGTTTGCAATTCGAGCTTCATATCTACTGATTTTCCTGGCTATAGCTGTTATTTGTTGCTTTATTATTTCCAGTGCTTCCTTGATCTTCCTTGTTTCTAAGTGGTATTTCTTGATTAGGTATTCTTTGGTCTTCTTGTTCTTCAGCTTCTTTTCTTTCATCTGTTCTAGCTTGCTTGCATGTGATCTTAACTTGCTGATCTTATTTTCTAGTCTAACCTTCCATTTTTCTGGTGCACTGTTTGTTTTTCTTCTTTGTTGATTTTGCATCCCAGGTATTCTGTTATAACTGCAGCTGTGCTGTACATTAGTTGGTTTGTTTCTTGCAGTGAATTGGTGCTTATACTTGATATTGCAGTATTTGCATCTTTTAATGCTTGTGCTAGCTGTTTCTTTGGAACAAGCTTCAATGCAGGTAGCCTTATTCTGTTGTTTTTGTGCTGTTCTAGATGCTCAGTTATTCTTTGTTTCAATTCTTTTATTTCTTTAGTTAGAGGGTTTTGTTCTTCCTGAGGAAGAGGTGCCTGGTTTCCAAATGAGAACAGTTGTATATCTCTGCTGGATTCCTTCACTGCCAACTCCCCCTGGTTTGCCTCTACATTCTGAATTACTTCTGGTAAGGCTTTGATTTCTTTGCCCTGGGTAAACCTTTGCAGTTCGTCCAATTCTGTTTCTGTGAATATTTTATTTCGTGTTATAAATCGGCGTTGATCTGCTAGTCTCTGTTCTGTTATTTCTGATTCTGGATGTTGTTCTTTCCAGAATTGGTGCATTCGTTTTAGATATCCTCTTCTTGTTGGACTTGATCTGTAGTAACAGATCATTATTTCTTTGTTTTCCATCACTGTGTATCTGCGACGGGTAAACACCTTTTCTTCCAGTAGTTCTGCAGCTGCTGGCCCTGGTTGCTCAGCCAACAGTCCTGAGTCCTGTAACCCATTTTTCACCAGATATCCAGGAACTCCAATATCTAGTGCGGACCTTGTTAACCCGGGTGACGTCCGAGCCGGTATGGCATTCTGCAATTTACGTCTCACCATATTTTTTATGGGAGAGACACTCTTTGTCTGACTCCTCTGATGAGACCTGTCCAGTATGGTTGAACCTCTGGCATAGCTCTCATCTTCCTCAGAGTACACAAGCCCCACAACCACGTCAAGGTAGTGCCTCACTGGGGGATTATTATTATTATTATTATTATTATTAATGTTTTATTCATCTCTCTCTCCCTCTATTATAAGAAAACTTAATTCATGCAGTTTGGCAATGTGGGTTCTTTTTACACATCCAAGCTTTTCCTCCTCAGATGTATCTTTTTGCATTGATTACCTTAACAAAAGGTTGGTTTGATTTGATCCTAGCAAATTTCAAGAGTCCAAGGCAAACAACCAGAGATACTAAGGGGACAGGATGTAACTTAGTCTAGTGATAAAAATACCCAACTCTTTGAGTGATTCAATCCAATCAGATAACACCACATAAATGCATAATCATTTAAATTGTAGCACTGTAGTACAGGTAGTCCTCGACTTATGACCACAATTGAGCCCAACATTTCTGTTGTTAAGTGAGGTATTTGTTAAGTGAGTTTTGCCCCATTCTATGACATTTCTTGCTACAGTTGTTAAATGAATCACTGCAGTTGATAAGTTAGTAACCCAGTTGTTAAGTGAATCTGGCTTCCCCATTGAGTTTGCTTGCAAGAAGTTTGCAAAAGGTGATCAGGTGATCTTGGGACACAGCAATGGTCATAAGTATGAACCAGTTGCCAAGCATCTGAATTTTTATCACATGATCATGGGGATACAGAAGTGTAACTGTGAAAAATGGTCATAAGTCACTTTTTTCAGTGCTATTTGTAACCTTGAATGGTCACTAAATGAACTGTTGTAAGTTGAGGACTATCTGTATTTTGTTAAGCAACAATTAAAGGTCACATTATATATTTTTGGTAATAGTTCTATGGAAAATAGA